TAGTGTGAGCTGGACATTACACTAAGGAAGAGCACCGGTTATCTTATTTCAAATGCACTAAGATATTTTCACTATAAACTAGATAATAATACTTGGTAAGTTTTTTTTTTGTTTGTTTTTGCAGTGTTGAAGATCGATCGATTTATTAACCAAGTAGTTAATAAAGAAGACAATCAATTCCTTAAATTTGGATCCCTATAAATCGAGACCAGATCTCAGCTGTTGTGAACACGTGACTCCTGAGGGATCACTCTGTTAAAGTTCTGTAAATTTTGCTTCCTGCGTTGAACTGGGAGGCTTACAAATGGCTGTCTGGGCTCTGTGTAACCTGGCTGGTGCATATTTGGTTGTGGCTGTGTGAAAAACATGAGGACAGAGCTGTTATTGACAATTATCTATTATAAAGCTAACCCCTGAGGAAGACACTTATCCTGAGCATGACTGCGATGTAAAACTGTTGGTGTTTTTTTTTTATTTGCTTGTTTTCACAGCAAACAGCAGAGGGCGTCGGTGAGCTCAGAGGACACTGAGTCGGGGAGGAGCAGCCCAGAGCCCCAGTCTCACTCCCCTAAACACCAGCCGAACCGTCGGAGTGAGTGAAATGCCTCTGCTGCAACATTCATGTTTTATAATCAAGTAGATACTTAGTAACAAAATCATAGAAATCAGTTTTAGAGGAGCTGATGCCCAACATATTTGCTTTGCACCCTGCTGCAGCGCTGATTTGCCCCGCCGCCGTAAACTAATTTAGATATTTGACTTTTCATCCCCAGCAGTTCAGGTGTACTTTGACCTGAAGAACCAGGTACATCGAGGACTTTGTGGGAAAAAGCTACTGAGATTAGCTTTTGATTCTACATTCTTTTTAATGTCCCAGTAAGTTTTAATGTCAACATAGTTACTAAGTATCTACATGGTGCTGGTTATGGTGCACTGCAGAAACAATAGGCGTTTTTAAGAAGCTTTAGCAGAACGTCTGTCTCCAGGTTGGCCCGGAGCTCATCACTCGGTAGACATCTGCGAGGGTCTGGAGGAGTGGCCTGGAGATCAGGACGCCTTCCTCCCATCTGAGACGGAGGAGAAAAAAATGGTCAAAATAGTAAGGGAACAACAACAACAACAAAAAAAAAACCCCAGTAAATTCCTGCTTACATTGTCTTGCAAAGGTATTTGCTCCCCTGATGTGATAGACAAATGCAATATAGCATATACATGATGCATGGCTTTTAAAGTTTTTGTTTTTACAAACAAAATACTTAAAAGTCATGTGCATTTGAACAACTTTTTGCAGCAATGTATGGTATCACATCTGGAGATTTAGAGATTTTCCCATTCTTTGTTGCAAGACAATTTAAGTTCATTCAGGCTGTAAGTAGGATTAGGGTTTGGACTTTGGCTAGGCTACTCTAAACCATGCAGTAGTACAGGCATCTGCAACCTTTTCATCCTAAAATGCCATTTCCACTCCCTGGTCAGTCACATTAAATTTGTTTAGCACCACAAATGTCAAAAGATTTCTTTGAAAAAAAAAAATTAACTTAGGATTTTAGATAAATATCTGCTCTAGAAAATTTGCTGTCATTCTTTTAAGAAACAACATTTTATCTGTATTTCTTCTGATTTAATTGAAAGATAAACATCAGATTTAGCAAAAAGAGGACAGACCTTTTTTTCTGTGGGATGGAAATGATGCAAAAGGCACATAGATTCCATAGATTTCAACAAAGTACCAGTATACTGGTACTTTGTTGTAAAAGTACCAGTATACTGGTACTTTTAGTGTCATTCTCTGCAGAAATTTGATGTAAATATTGCAGGAAAAACTAACAATCACATTTCACCATGGAGATGTATTCAGGGAGATGTGCTTCACTTTTTCACCAAACAAAATGTTTTTGTAGGCCAAAAATGACATTTTCAACCCCAGCACCTACTTCCAGATGTTTTCTTTATTCACTACTGAAAGTTTTATCTCTATTTTTTAAACAACAGCATTTTTGTAGCCATTCTTCAATAAATGCCAGATTTATAGAGTGCATAAATAATAGTCATCCAGTCAACATCTGAACTGTGAATCTGTGCTGCACGTCCCGTTACCATGTGCCTCTTGTATGTTTTGAAACCATACATTTTTCTGCTGAGTTAGTGTTTTTTTTGTGTGTGTCACTAACTTTTTAAAAATCTGTTTTAGACCCAAGGCAAGTACAGAGCTATGGCTGACTGTCCCCAAAACGGACCAGGCAGCATCATCATCAAACGCGGAGATGTCATCCATCTACAATGTGAAGACAACAGGGGGCGCTGGTGAGCCTCACTGGAATGTTCAATAAACGAGGCTTAAAAAGCCTCTAAAAACAATGAAACTACACAAAATGCACTGTATGTTCATTCATCCTATTTCTCAAAACAATTCCCCCATTCATCATGGTGGTGGAAAGGCTTGTGAAAAATCTGAGTCGGCAGCAGGAGGGCTTCATAGCAGCTGCCAGCCTGCAGCTCATTATAGGAAGCAGCAGCCACGAGCGCTCTCCCAGACTGGGAGGTAAAGAGACTTTATCTGCTTAGTCATGGTTACCATTTTATTTTGATTTCTTCTTTACAAAACCTGCGCTTTATTCTTGCAGACCCCGGGAACCTAAAGGTGAGAAAGCTGAGCTCCCCATAGAGAACACAGGACAGAGGATGAATCTCATGCTGGATGATGAGCAGAGCAGACTGAGTCATCGCTGTCTCATAGCTGAGGCTGCCAATATCTCCTCTCCTCTTAGAGGCTGCTTCCTTCAGCACACTTCAGTTCTTTAAAAGAAGAGGCAGAGTCAAGTGAGCCGATTTCCTCCCTCGGTTTCTGTTTTCGACCTCCTGAACGGACGTTTTCTGATGATGAGGATCACTGCAGCGATCACCTCAAAGCCACAGGAGAAGTTAAAGCCCTACTGGACAATCAACGGCTGACCTGGCTCATGTTCTTCCCTCTTTTTGAGGCGCTTCCTCTGCAGCATATGCAGTCAGCATGTGAGTTTGCCACTGCAGCAGTGTCTCATTTCACAAACTGTGGACTCAGTGTTTCCCAGCAAATACTTGAGGTTGGCTCTAAGAGCTTGTCTTTCTGCTTTGTTTCAAAAGGATGAAAGCCAGGATTTAATCCTTAAACTGTTTTACAAATTGCATCCTTTTTTAAAAAACTTTTAATGAATTTCATGTTCATGTCTGTGTAAAACATTATTTTTTTCCTCATGTTGCCACTCTTCTGTACAGTTAAGAGTTTAAATGCCAAAACGTGCCATGCCTTATTGCCTTTTTATTCCTGCTCTTTTAAAGTCTTTCTATGTACTTTTTCTTGGTTCTAACTGACCTCACAAGACATCATCAGGCACTTTAAAGAGGTGGCTTTGTTATGTTTCAAGGCCATTTATCATTATTGCTGCATTTAGGCTTGTAGCTCATGACAGATATTATTCTCTCAAATTGAGAACTATGAAAGTAAAGCAAAAACAGATTAAGAATGCAGTTAAAAGTTGCTGAAGATGGATGATGCTATGGTTTAATGCCAAAGGCTGCAGCCACCGCATGACACAATGACCACCCAAAGGGAAAGCGGAGAGAGTAATGTGAGTTCATAAAGTGAAGATCTGTTTGCCGATTTGTAAAGTTAAGAGGAGGAAATAGAGTGAAATGTTGTCTGGGAGTTTGTAACTTGGAGACTTAGCAAACCTTAGCAAAATGTATCGAAGTAGAAATGCTTTCAAATATTTTAAACTTTTTTTTTGTCATAAAAGTGTGTTTTAAATGTACTTATCCCATTTGAAAACCAATGTAAAAGCTCACTGTGATTTATTTTTTTTCATTCTTTCAACATTTTTAGGTATTCCAGCCATAAACTTTTTTGATCTTTGGCCTTTAACTCCAAATCCACCTGCTCTCTACTGAATGTGCTCTTTGCTTGCTGCTTTACCTCTTTCACTGTGTTTCCGTTATGCTGTGCTTCTTTGTTTACCCCTAAATATTTGAGGGATTGGGAATGCAGGGGAGACATTACCCCCCTGTATGGACGGCAGCAGTTGGCACTTGAAGGATGATATTGTAAGACACTGATTAGCACGATAGAGACCGGAGGTAACGTGTTCCTTGGAGGGCAGCCGAGCGCAAGATGCTGTCATCTTACTGAAGATTTCCTGAGAGGTGACTGTCATTCACAGCACAGACAAGAAGGATGGAGAGAAAACGATGCTGTGCTCAATCAACAGAAGAAAAATGAATCCTCTCTCAGCATTATAGCTCAGTAACTCTTTCCTTCCCCGTCAAAAGGGATGCCTTAGAGCCAACGTGAAATTTATATGCTTTGTGTTGAACACTTAATTAAATATTGATTACAGACTTATACGATTTACCACATCAAATTGAGTGGCTGCAATAGGCTGTTGTTGAAATGGAAACGGGTCCAGAAAGTGGCAGTGACTGCTGCACACCTCACACCTCCTCAAAAGGTAATTTCTTTATTTTCTTGTTATATTGTGAAGTATCTGTTCAGTCCCTAAGGAAATCACACCTCCATATGTTCAAAGAAGCTATGCATAAGTGATGTGACAATATCAAGATGGTTTTCCTTTTTTTTTTTATCCAAAATGCTGCACAATTTGCACAGATGTCGCTACAGAAGGCAAAAAAGTTGCTTGAATCCTGCTGAGCCATGTAACATACGCTTGTTGCTGAACATTTTGTTTTTATACTGAAAATGCATGGCAGTTGGACATTTGATTTAATTTTGTTTTTTTAAAATGTCTTTGGTTCTTTTAAAAGTAATCTAATAATATTAACATATACACTGCAATAACAGTTTTTAGGGTAGCCGAATTTCATTGTTAACACAGTGAATGTAAACTAATATGTCTGTATTCTTGTTTCAGAAAAAAACATGTAAATAATAAATCTATCCTGGATGTTTTTTAAATTGTAAAGTATCTGAAGCTTTGGCCTTGAAAGGTTCAGTTGGCTGCTGGCTTCTGTTTGATGCTCTTGCTGCGTTGCTATTGTATAAAGAATATATTTAGTTATCGCAGTTTATTTATTCTAAATCTTCCTCATGTTTTTGTCCTTATAGATGTTAGAGAACTGTAGAAAAAAAAAAAACGCCTTGAGGCCACGAACTCAACTGGTTGATTGGGACAGACAGAAAAAAACAAACTTCCCTTTCTCACTGTTATGAATGTAAACTTTAATTGGAAACATGTTTATTTTTGAGTTTTTTGGCAACAAACACTTCAGATGGGTGTACGACAAGGATCTGCAACTTTTACACTCCAAAGAGCCAGTTATGGCTTCATAAAGGTAAATAAGGCTCAGTCAGGGCTGCAAATGTCATATGAGATATTTTAAATATCTAATAAAAACTATTATTAAAGAAACGACATTTTCAAATAAAGAAAAATGTTAAAAGTTTTGTAAATAGTTTCTTCTGTAGCAGATCCCTGGTGTGGAGTGAAGCGCATGACAATTACAGTTATAAAGTACGGTGGAGGATCTGTAATGCACTGGGCCTCTTTTTCATCCACATTCTGTGGGAACCGTTTAGAGTTCATGTCATTGGCATCACAAACTGCTTTAAGAAGCATCATTATTGAGTCCTTACTCCAAAACACACAACAGAAGTGATTGACCTTCTGCTGTGAGACCGTCTCAGTCCAGAATCTGCTACAAACCCTGAGATGTGACCTAAAGAGAGGACTGTAGAATATTAAAGCATAGAGGTCAAACTCCACACCTTGACGACCACCATCCTGTTCACCAATCAGGTCCTTCCAAGGTCTGCTTGTAACCCAGCCTTTGGATTCAAAACGATGCAGGACATTAGAAGTTGAGGACTCGAGTTAGACACATGATGTAAAGAGAGAGTATAAAAAAGAATCCAAAAACATTTTAGGATACGACTTAAGTGCTTTTCGTATTGCACAAAGATTTTTTTTTTGTATGGTATTAACAGCAAAGTTATGAAAATGGTTCGTCTTGTACTTTTGTCTCACTGAAAGAAATTTAGGTTGGATTCTTCCATTTTTTTTTCAGTGTCATCCTATGCTACTGTAATGCAAGATTGATTTATTTTAAGGTGATTTGCTAATTGATGTGCCAATAATGTGGCCTGTGCTGTACATCAACATCCATGCACAGTCATGAGTCTGGGTATTCCACATCCATAGCCAGCCTGCGTTTAGTTACACTCATCGCGTACTTTATCCAGCTGTAGTAAACAGAAACCCGGGTGTACACGCCGTACTTCCCTTCTTTTGCACATTCCTCCCCCCAACTCACAATCCCCGTCAGGAACCAAGTGTCTCGGTAGCTTTTTGCGTGAGGACCTCCGCTGTCGCCCTGGCAGGCATCTTTGGCCACGTCGTAGAATCCGGCGCAGAACATGACAGGAGTGATCCTTTCGTTGCTGCTTTTCTTACACTCAGTCTGATCTACGAGGGGAACCTCGACCTTCTGCAGAATGTTGGACGTGATCCCCATGAAGCGAGTGCGGCCCCAGCCGCTCACCGTAGCCGGGGAGGGTTGCTTCACCAAGTCCTCGATGAAAGCCATGGGCCCGATGCAGATCGGCCGGACTGTTGCTGAGAAGCTGATGGGCTCTTTGAGGTAGAGCAAGGCAATGTCGTGGTTGTATATGTTTAAGGTTGCGTTGTAGCGTGGGTGTGGTTGTTCCTCCAACACCTCGTAGTCTTTCTCTCGGCCCTCCGTGATTTCAGTGTTATGTTCCCCTGTTGGCAGAGAGATTTGATATGAATTAAGCTCCATACAAATTAACCACCGTTTGTGGTCATTCTATAGGAAGCACATTTGACAGCAATAAATAGAAGAAATTAATTTGTTCCGCCCAATTTCTGCCCACCTGGAAAAAAAAGCCACTAAATAAATGATTTTGTTGCAAAGAGTCTCACACCAGAAAATCCCATTTAAAATTGAATAAATGTATTTATCAGGGAAGGAAAGGAAATGGAAACGGCTGTGTGGTTGCAGATATTTAGCTTTAAGTAGCCGCTCAGTGTGTCGTCTGTGATTCTTACCCACTCTGACCGAGAAGGAGCCGGCCGCCTCCCTCAGACAATGAGCAGCAGTGATGACCCAGCGCTCCGAGAGGATGGAGCCCCCACAGAATAACCGACCACTGGGTTTCGCTATCAGTCCGACCTGGAAAAATAAAACTGATGAACAGACTGGGGGGCAGAAACAGAATGCTGTGCAGGATGCCACAATGTTCCTGATATCTGTGCGTCTAAACAGTACCTGCCAGGGAATCTCTCCTGGAGCGACTGACCTCCCACCAACTATACGTTTGAAAGGTGTTTGTGACTCCGCAGAGGTGTTTTCAGAGTGATTGGATTCCCCTGAAAGCACATCACTAAGAGACTGATTCTGACCAAAGTCATCATAGTCATACGAATCCAGATCTGGCTCTGCTGCTGCTGCTGTGGGCGTCGTGTTGGTAGGAGACGTGGCGTTCAGATGGTCTGGAAGCCCGGGGTTGTAGAAAGACCTGACGACTGGCTTCGCAATGGTTAGTCCAGTTTTCCCACAGGGGAATTCAACTGGTAAAAAAAGGAAAAGAGGTTTTAATAAGAACCAATTCTACTTTTTCTTGATATTTTAAATCCAAACCTGTTGCTTCACAGCTGACCCCATCCGACATCAACTCGTATCCTGTCGCGCAGAAGCATTTTGCCCCAAATGTTCCTATCGTGCCACAGAAATGCTTGCAGTCTCCATTGTTTACGTCGCATCTTTTTTGTAAGACTGTGTAGACAAGGGAAAAAAAAAAAAAACAGAACCGGGATCAAGCTTCTCCTTTGACACGACTTCAAAGACCTTTTTTTTTGTAAACTCCCAACAATAAATACTTTGTAAAAGAACAATTTTAGGAATTTAAAAGATAGCTTTGTTTTTAATCAGATTTTATAATGAAGTTACCTTTCATTTAGCAACACCGACCAGCTTGATCCTGCCACCAGCATGTTTCATCATGGACTAATGTGAACTACTTATAAAATGTGGCATTTATCGTATTATTTAGGCCACATTGGGTCTCATCTGCGTTTATTACACGACTTGTGACGAACCACGCGTTGTATGTCGGCCTCACACAGTTTGTTTTTGCAATTTAAAAAAAATATTATTTTGCTACCTTTATGCTGCGAAAGAAACGAAACATTTTCAGTTTGACCGCAGCTCACAGATCATTCAGTCGTTGTTTTCAGAACATTGAGAAAGACAAACAATCCAATACTTTCACCTAAAACCAGGATGATGCTCAATCTGAGTCACTGATTCAATTTAGAAACAAGATAATTTTTTTGGACACTGATGCCAAGCTGTAAACAAATTTGGGTTGTATGCCAGAGAAAAATCTAATTTTCTTAGGTAAAAAAACAAAAAACAAACAAAACTTGAGTCCAGCTAAAGAAAAATGCACTGACCAATCTCACAGTTGGTGCCAGTGAAGCCAGACACACATGTGCAGATGTAGTAGCCCATATGGTCTTTGCATGACCCCTGGTTCAGACATGGGCTGGACTCACACTGATTGCCATCTGAAGAAAGTCAAACACAGGATTTTAACTCTTCGTCATCCATGTTGTCCTTAAATAAGCACTTTCTTCTACCTAAAATATCCGACTGAAAAGATCCCTTACCTGCATATCTTGACCAAAATGCCATCTAAAACACAGAGTAAGTCATGACCATGGCCACAAACTATGAGAATTTGTTCCAAATACAATGGATAAATACTCACAGTCTTTTCATCGTTCTCAAATATCTCCCTGGCTTCTTCCAGGTTACATTTCTCTTCCATACATTCTCTTTCTAAGTTTCCCTGCAGGAACTCCTCGAAAATCCCAGTGTTCCCCCGTTTGTGTCTCCTGAGGAAGCTGTCAGCTGTCTTCTCAGAGAGGAGCACAGTGTTTGGGGCTAGATATAAAACACAATACACAGACTGAGTCTTCTTATCACCACTTTAAAAAAACTATATATAGAAAGCTTTTTAATACCTGCGGAGCCAAGGTGAAAGTCCAAAAGCAGCAAAGACAGAAAAGCTCGTGCCATCCTAACTTTTAGCGTAAATCCAACAGAAACACTTTGGGCCATAGCTCCAAAGTACAACTCTGTGTTTGCACACTTGCCCTCACAATTTGATGGCTGCTTGTTCAGAGAAAAAGAAAAACAATCTGCCTTTTCGTTGACATCCATGTCAACGAAAAATGACAGTTTTCCCCACTTTGTATCAAGTGTGTTTGCTGACAAATAATGACAATGAAACAATGTGGAGCTACAAGTCAGTCAGGGCAGGGAGAGTGATTACTGGTACAGAAACTGAATAGGTTGCAGGGATCTTGTGAAACTCTGTCATGATTTCTCTTTGCTTATGGAGGCAGATTAACCCTTTGTTTCCTTCATTTTTTCTTTATGGTTTATCCTGAACTGCTGGACCACAAAGTAAAATGCCTCAATATCGTTTAGAGAAAAAAGATCTGCATAAATAATGAAAAATAACGGATAAATATAGCACGGTTTTACAAATTGCTCTACATATTTGTCACTAATATATGATTTGGATGGGGTGTGACATATCTGAAAGAAGCCACCCCACTTCTTCGCGTTTTCTTCATGCTCACAAGTTTTAAGAAACGAATATAATGGGCATGAAAAAGCTTGTTGGCAATAATAATTAAGTGTTTTTATTATTATTTGCATTAGTTTTTGTACTGCGTATATTACTGTGGTGACATATTTGAATAGTGGTGACCATTATGGAAGAAAAAACAGTTTTGTATTAAATTAATATAACTTAATTGAGGTTCAGGCATGAACTGAGTAGGACTTTATTTAAAAATATATATGTTTTTTCAATGTTGTTTTTTCATTGAATGTTTATATTCTCACAAGGAAATGTGAATGAAATGTAAATGCTGCCATCTCTTTAGAAAAACCTAAAATTTAAACATCTCTGGCGCCGTAAAGCCAAGCCGGGGAGGAATTTAAAAAATGTACTTTGAAGGATTTACCACAAGGTGGCGCCTCATCACTTGTCAGATGAGGTTCACTGCAGAAACATTAAGTCTCACTCCTTTTTGGATAACTGAACTAAATCAGTGAAGTTCAGGATATACTGTTGTCTTTCATGCTTTCAGTTTATGGTTCACATAATTTAACTAAATTCAGCCAAACTGACACGCAGACAATCAGGTCTGTAACTTGCTCTCATCGTTCACATTGAGCAAACGTGCGAAAGTGGAGAGGAACCTTTTTGTTTTAATAGAAGGAAAACTCAGCAGAACCTGGTTCGGGATGAGTGACCATCAGATGGCAACAAGACGATTTGACAGAAAAACCTCCACAGAAACATCAGTTCAATGATGAACAATGCAAGTCCAAAAAGTTAATGACGACAGTAGTTCTTACAGCTGTGTAAAATGCATGAATGGAAACTGACAGGCCGCAAAAGTCGTCATCTGTTTATTGTGCGGACATTTTTATTAAAATACTTTGTAAATTAAAATATTTTTTAATGTAAATGTGAAAACTTAGTTAAAAATGTAATTTGATTGTTGGGACAAATTCAACTCCACTTGGTCAAATCCCTGCTCTCAGGCTGGTTGTAAATGTCTTTCTTTCACAACAACTGGACACATTCAGATCACTGCATGTCTGAGTTTCAAATCTTTCTGTTCACCTTCAGAGCTTTAAATGGACCTTCCCCTAAATATACCCCAGACCTGTTGACCTGGCGTTACATACCCATCCCTGCTGCTGTTATTCCAAGGTCATTTTTTGAAGGCAGATGGGATATTTCCTGTCATTACCCAACACATTTCATGGAACTGACGTTCCTGAGATCAAAAGTGTTTATCCTCCACTATTCTTAATTTATTTGCCCATTTTAGAGAACAGCATGTAAGGCATTAACAATAAGATATAATGTTATATTATTTAAAGCAATCATCACAAACTGAACATCATGTGAACTTACCCCAAACTGTCTAATGTTTTCTTCTTTCTACCTGTTGTCCTCACAGCCTCTACCAATCATTCAATATGGCCAGTCAATACTCGAGACAATGATGCATTCAGGGACCTTGGATGCTGATTCAGCATGCCAGCTAAAGATTTAGCTGTGGTATCATTTTCTAGTCTAGTGTATAAGATGAAACCCATCACTGACTGTGAAATCCCCCAACAGGGAGTCCAAAGTCCTCTCAAGTGTCAACAACTATCGACTGCGGGCATTTTTATTTCCCTCAATCGTTTAGAGGCTAAATAATTCATGCTTGAGTAATTAACGCTGTCTTCTTGATGCTAGAGCTTCTCAATCTCCACACAAGACAAGCATCAGGGATCAGTAGTAGTAAATATGTTTGTTTATGACATGATTTCCAAACTTTCAGAGCTTTAAATAAACAGACTTTCGCCGCAGCTGATGTCTCCTGTTCAGCCTCAGTCAAAACAAACCCTGCGCTGCCTTCCCTGAGTCATATTTCTAAATGTAAATCTGTTGCTGAGCCTCATTGGAGAGCATGTGGGCTTCATAATGTCATACTTTCCGCGCAGTCTAAGCCCAGTTTAACAGCAGTGAGGACAACGACCTCTAAATGACTGGGCTTTCTGTCTTGAGAGCAGAAAAAAATAAATAAATAAATTCTCAGTAATTTGATGATAAATCATGAAACGTGCATGCTGACTTGACTTTTTTATTTTAGACAGAGTGGATGTATGAATGGAGAAGATAATATGAAGTAATCTGTGGATATTTATTGATTAAAGAAGATCTCCCAGACATGTCTGTCTTCCCTTGTTCTTTAGCAGTCGGGGAGTCTGCGTCGACTCCAATTAGATTAGTCACCGCGGTGGAGGTCTGTGTCAGGGCCTCGCAGAGAGTGAAATCTCTGATGCTCGCTCTCGTCTATTGATTGTTTCTGAGTTGCATCTCTTGGGATGTGGGGGAGTTCAGGCTGCCAAGGTTTACTTTTCTCTGTTTTATTTGTTTTGGGGGGTTTTTTCCACCAGGAACGTGTTGTCGTCTACAAACGGGTCATGTTTTGTTCTGGAAAAACCGGATGGATGTGGATATGACTCACGATCAGATAAACTGCACCACACACAAGACATTGAGTTGGTGCTTTGCAAATATATCATACACCTCAAACTTTTGCACATACTTATTCATGTTATAATTTATTTAAACTTTTTTTTTCACAGAACAGCTGCATTGTTAGTAATTTTTGCTTGCAAAGAATTAAGAAAGTAATTTATTTACTTTGTGTTGGCCCATCATTTAAAATAACAAATAAATTGGAGTTTCGGGTTTCAACATGTTAAAATGTAAAAATGTGATAATTTACTGACAGTCTTAATTTCGTTGCCTATAGTGCAGTTAAGTTGACACCAGTGACTGAAGATTTAGCTGCTTAATGGAAAATATATCACAGTTTGGAGAAATATCTCTAGAAATTCTATTACTCTAGATTATTACAAGACTATCTACAAAATCTCACTTGGCGGTAAAATAAAAACAAACTCTTTAAATTACTAACATGTTAACACTGCTGTCAGAAAAAAGGCTTATTTTAAAAGGGAATAAAAGATTGCAGCTTAAAGTGGCTGCACATACGTTATCACCTTCCCTCAGGCTATTTTGTCTAATTAACTAAATGCTCTGGTGCAAAAGATGGATTCTTGTTAATTACTTGCATTGTCACGCTGTGATGAACAGTTGCTTTTCGAACACAGCAGTCCCAGGGTGAACAAATGTCACACCTTCAGCTCCAAACCTTTAAAATCAACTCATTAACAAATCACACCTGATTTAATATAAGAAGAAAATAGTTTTGTTTTTTAATTAACATTTTTGTTTTTATTATTTACACAGTACAAAACCAATACAATAACCTACACCACACCCCATTTTATGGCTGCATGGTTAAAATTAGACCAGGAGAAACCCGAAAATCTCCTTCTCCCTGAGCGGCGTTTGGCATCAGTAGGTAGGAAACGGTTCCTTTTAAGAGGAAGCACCCTCTGGCAGGGCCAGGCTCAGCATGAGCGGCCATCTGCCTCGTCCGGTTAAGGTGAACTCAGAGCATAGAAAGAAACGATGAGCAGAGAAAAAAGGCATCCAGCGAAAAAAGCTGACTGTTTTGGTCTGATGACCATAAATCTGAAGCATGCAGCCAAATTCAAGTCAGTTTACTGAGCTGTTTTAGACATGAAGCACTTTTTAAGTTGCTTTCCCAAGAATGTGTTGTCTGAATTTTATTTATTCATTTAAGCTTAGAAAGTTGTTTTTATGTTTAGTTTGGGATCCTTTGCTGCCATGCTGCATGATTTTAACAATGGTCTTGGAGACTCATCCAGTGAAACAGCTGAAACACTGAGTGTCTTTAAATCTGGAGTAAAACCCCGTCTGCTTAGAGTTGCTTCTGAACCATCATAAATGAAACACTAACCAACATTTTTATATGTAACGAAAGCACTTGGTAAAATGTCATGTTTCAATTGTTAACTGTGTTCTATGTCTTTGTGCTTTTGTGTTTTTATGATGTAAAGCTCTTTGAACTGCCTTAGTGTGTCATGAACTGTGGTTTGATGTTGGTGAGGATGATGCGGTAGACTCAGGTTATGGTGAAAATGATGGTTTAATAATGACAACGAAGAAAACAGAAGTCCAAACAAAAAGTACAAAATCCAGGCAGCACAGGTGAGCAAAAAGGCAAAGCGCCCAGATACTGGTAGCAACTGGAACCAAAACACAAGGAACCAAAGGCAAGGAGACGAGACATGACTGCAGCGAGGATCTGACGGGGAGCAGGCGACACAGGTGGGATTAAATACACAGGGAGATAATCAGGGGAAACAAGGCAGGAGACAGTCAAGGGGAAGATGCAACAACACAGAGACTCTAATCTACACAAAAACCAAATCCTTACACCTTGTTACTGAAATGTGCTAAACAAATAAACTTGATTGATTGATTGATCCTGTCAAATGCTGACATAGCATGAACAGGAAGTGCTGGCTGCAAATCTTAATTTAATATTTCTAATTGTAAGATTGTCGCTTCTAGCTAGTCCCTTCCAGCGTTAATATTGGATATTGTTCTGCAAAACTTGATTACTATTTTTTTATGATTACGAAACTCATTGTGAGAGTGAAATCTTTCTGAGCTTCTTGGGAGCTTTGTTGCTTTTCTCCCGTTTCCATTTTTTTCATTCTTTAAAAATGTGACATTTTGCACAGTCTCACTCTGGATCTACATTTTCTTGCTGACTGTTATAGACCTTCACTAAAACTTATTTGTCTGCTACCC